CTCGACTACTTTTGGATCAATTTCAATTTATCATAATCCATCAAATGAAAGTCAAAATTACAATTCAAACTTACAAGATTTTACATTTATAATGAACTTAGGGTCCGTCTGATTGTAAGAATAGAATTTGAGTGGAAAGAAAATGAATTTTAGGAAATTGAATTGTCTAAAACTTGTTTTATTGGAAATTGTCAATTAAATGTGTTTGATTGGTATAATTTTTCAGTTGAAAAATATTGAAATTTTGGATCTTTTGGTATTCGCTTGGCTTTGTAAAAATGCCTAGAAAATCTTTTCCCAATCAAAAACCAAGAAAATGTGAGCATGTTGGTGAAAAATAGAAAACCAATTTCATGGAAAATTTGGGCAATCAAATATGCAAAAATGTGGAAAATGGAATTTAATTTCCATCTTCCATGAAATTGAAGTACAATCAAACAGGGCCTTAGGTGGAAGAATTTGCCTCCAAACACAATAAGTAGAGCTGTAATGTACGTATAGGTCGAGCACAAAACTACTTTGAGGTAACAACTTTGAGATGCTATATTCATTATTCGTTTCGGGTACATAATTTTAGTTTCAAATGAAATTGTGTCGTATTTTAAATTATATACCTTATCGGTTCAAAAGCCAGAAATGATTAAAACAAGGTTTTGCAATTAAAATATTTTGTTGCATTACTTTTTATTATATTTCACAAACAAGGAAAAATCATAAGAACATTGATAATTCAGAAAATTACAGTAAATTGCAATCAATAATGTCGATAATTAAAGGAACAATTTGAATGGTATTATCCCTATTTTCTAGGGTTTTCTTTTTCTAATCCCTATAACTTAACTATTACTAAATTTATTTTTCTCAAATAATGGGACTCAAACAAACACTAAGTAGAAAATGACACAAAAAATATTGATTTTGAAAAGTATATCTAGGGTTGGACAAAAATTAATCCGAACCAATCAAACCGATTAACCCAACCCAAACCAACCGGTTTGGATTGATTTTTTAGTTTAATTGGGTTGGGTCCGGGTTAGGAAATCAAATTTTAGGTCGGATTCCGAGTTATCTATTGAATCACAATCCAACCCAACCCAATAAACTAAAAAATATTTTTAAAAAAATTAGTACTAAAAACCTAAAACCATAATAATCAAAATTCTCATCCATCTTACGTATCTTCTGCCTCTCATTGATGTTCGTGCCTCGGCTTCTCGACTTGATTTTTGACTTAGGCCTTTCAAATCAACTTGAAATGGTACTATTGATCCAACTTCAATCTACTTAAAGGCCTTTCAAATCACCATTTTTAATGTAAATGAAATTGGTTTAAATTGAAATGGTATCAAACTTTTAAAAAATTGTTCAAATTCAATGAAAAATGTCCCGACTATTGAGCCCATAAAAAAAATTGTCTAACTTGGAATTGGACTTAAGTCCAAACCAATCAACCCAACCAAAATCAACCCGAGTTTGGTTGGTTTGAATTGAGTTTGGTTTCAATTGTGAATGGGTTGGTTTATGTTTGAATTAGAGAAAATTACCTAAACTCAGGGATTTAAGATTTAATTATCAAAAATCAGGTATTAAATCTCGACACCCCAAATTCATTTCTCTCCCCCCCCCCCCATTCTCTCTCTCCTCCCTCTACCCCCATTATCGCCGCCGTCCAATGCTGCCACAAGATGGAGAAGCTCCGCAAGTGTTACCGCTCAGAGATCCAGCGTGCCGCTCCATATGATGGCCCTCGCCAGATCTCCTAATCCTGGGTCCACTTCCAGATCATGCACTCCATGGAGAAGGGCCCCAATCGCTCCCCGTCTTCCTCTGATGACGAGCCGTAAGAAGAAGAGGATCACGAGAATAGTATCACACGCATTAACGATGCACTCAACAATAATTACAGTCATCAGAAAGGTAATTTTAGTAATCAAGGGCTTATGGGTAATGGGACGACTAGTGGGTTTCAGATCAAAATTCCTGGTAAGGCAAGTGCAGGTTATACTAGTGGTTACGGAGTTTCTGGTAAATTTTCGAGAGATGGGTTTACGGGTAAGGACGAGATTGGGAAAGGGATAGGTGATATTGCCAAGAAAAAGAAAGGGGATAATGGGATGGACGAGGTGGTGGCTGCAATAGAGACATTAGGAGAGTGGTTTGTGAGAATAGAAAAAGTTAAGATGGATATGGCGCATGAGGTGGAGCAGATGGAGTTGAAGAGGACTGAGATGATACTTGAATCGCAGTAGAGGATTGTGGAGGCCTTTGCTAATGCAATTTCAGATAGGAAACCTAAGAAGGCAAAGAAAATGTCAATGCCTAACTGCTAAATTGGGTGTTGCCTTCAAGTAAGGATCTTGAGATCGTTAATGGTAGTTGAGGATCGTGCTTTGGGACATTGATTCAAGTCTCTTTACCAATGTATGTAAATTTGGGAGTTAGATTTTCATTGTTACTTAAATTGGTTGTGTTTTTCCCCCCTCTTTTTTGCTT